CTGGTTGGAGGAGGTCACATAGAGAGCTGCTCAGGGCACTCAAGTCTACACCAGCTCTTGGAGGCGCATAAAGCACAGACAGATGGAGACCATGGAAAGTCCTGCTGTGGTGAGTGCCCTGAAAGCTGCCACAGAGCAGAGACTGGCATCCATAGGTGAACCTGCAAAGGCCAAAGCAAGCTGCATTAATTTAAAACTGGGCAGAAGAACAGACAGACACAGGCTAACTCTGCTGGCAGATATAGTTCCAGGGGGAGTGCTAGAATTTCTTCAGAAGACACCTAGGATTCTGCCTGTAGCAGCTACCTCGGCTGACATGATAAGAAACTTGCAAGCAAAGAACTCTATTGCCTTAAATGGAGACTCAGTTTTAGCAGGGAGTTGGACATGAGATCAAGGAAACAAAACAGTGTATCAGCCAGGATGATCAGACTTGCTAGAGGAGCCAAGCTCATGGTTCAGGCAGATGATATGAGGTCTAAAGCCAAACGATGTGCTGCATTTTGAGGTCATTCTCAGAAATCATTATCAGCAAATACAAAGGCCCACATGCATAGGCATAGGAGTAGGAACATATTGGATACGCTGCCTCAGGAACTACCTGAAAACAAATCTAAGGACCATCAAATGAATATTGCCCCAATGCCATAGGGCCGCCTTCCATGATATCTGATTAACTCAACACTCAATGTCTTGGAGCTTGAGCTCTTCATGCTCTAAAGAAGTTCTTCCCCATAATCTTTCCCCAGCTCCCCACATGCCTCCTCCACATACGATCTCCTGCTGATGGCCTTTCGCATAACCATGGATGCCAATGCTCATGGAAAGATGTGGGGAGATTGTAAAGGGAGGCAGTTGCCATATTTCAGACTTTTCTCTGCAGTGCAATTACAGAGCATTATTCTTTATCTCATCCTGGAGAATCTGGCTCCTTAATTATAATAAACAACTTGAATTTATATATCACCGAGTGTCTTAAAAATCTCAAAGCTAATTTGCATGTAAAATATCTTGTTGTTTCTTCAAAACAGCTCCTCAAGGGCAAGAAAGGGCCAGTCGCTTCCTTTGATTCACAGTTCAACAGCTAATGCGACATGAAGCCTTAAAATCAGCTTATAGTGTTAACTATCAGGAAGAAAGAAGCTAAAAAGATAGCCTCCTAGAATTTCCTCAGTGACCTAAATGAAGATTAGTTAAAGATCTGGCCGCGTCGAAGTCTTGATAGGAATTGGATGAAAAGTCTCTTGTTTCTTAGACACTGTCCAGTCCTTCTAAACCGGATACACAAATAAAGCCCGGCCCAGCCGAGAGTGCTCCGGCACCTCCCATTCTCATTGGTTGACAGCTAAGGGTTTAAGGGTCACTGCTTTCTTTTCTCCCATCACCTTGGTCCCCTCCAGCCACAGCTAATAGCCCAGCGAGTGTTCGTTTGTCTCAGCAAGATTAAGTGAAGTGCAGTGGCATTTCTTCTAAACATGACTTGATTTTATTTTTCTTCTCAAATCCTCCTCTTCCTTCTCCACTCCCCACAGGACATTGTACAGACTCTCGATGAGGCCTGGAAAATCTTCACTGCTCCAGTGATCTGTGTTATGACACTTTGAGTCTCGCCATTAAGTCAATATTTAGAAGTGCAATTTAGAAATGGCAGGAGTTCAAGTCTTCCTGTCAGGTAGATAAAGCAGCAGACTGAAAAATTGATCAGTGGTGAAGCGTCCAAAATACCACACCTCAAGTTTTGAGAAATTTAATATTGTAAACAGACCCTTTATTACCCCACCCAATGGTGTCATTGAGCTGTGCAGGGAGAAATGTGTCTTAGGAAATTATCCCAGGCCCTAAATAGAGTATTTTGTGGGAGAATGTCCAAAAATAAACCAGGAACTGCATAACTAGAACCTAAGGACAAGAGCTGAATGTGTGTCCTTCACCGATTTCATCCCCTACCGTATCCCTCTGGTTTGGTATCAAAGGAACTTTATCGAGGGAGGAAAGGAAGAGGCTCCAATATTCACTTCATACTGAGAGTAACCCAAAGCAGAGAAGGATACCTTCTTCAGACAATCAGTGCTACCTCACACAGTGGTAGCAGTTTTTAATTTTATTCTTATGGCTATCATGATATATAAAAAAGGAACAAAAAATAGCAACCTTTAGGAGGCTGTGGTTAAAAGTCTTCAGAATAAGTGTTTGAAGATTCTAAGTTCTACATCTTTCATCATGCATCTTAGTCTTAACTCCCTACCGCCAAGCAGTCAGGAGGATTGGGAGCAACCATGGCTTTGGACGATGTTGTGTGTGGGTCTGGGCTCTTCTATTGGCCTCTTCCTGTCCTGCACAGATGTTCAGGCAAATAAGACACCTCCTATGTGGGAAAAGACACATTTCTACCCGGCTTCCCCTCCTCCACTTTCCAGAGGTGGGCTGGGCACAAGGTTAATGGTGGATATCTGACTCAGCTCCTATCAAGTTTTGGTTGTTACAATTAAGGTGATTACTTCTAAGTCAGGAGGCATATATTAGCTATTGATCAAGAATTGTAGATCGTTCATAACATCTTCTCCTTTACTGAGTGGTGGGTCTCTGACAACTTTCAGCTGGGCTGAGCGTAGATGCATACACTCAGGCAAAGGGAAAATTAGGAGCCCAGCATCAATCATGACAATGTGTAAGTTAACATTACGGCTAATTCTTTGACTCTATGTATGTGATTTCAAACACCTGGATAAATGCTGAAACTTTTTTTCAGGCAAATATTTGACATTGCAAATAAAAGGGATCCAGATTTTCACTATATTTTCCAATAATATCACCAATTTAGTATTAGAGTTTAAGATGTATGTAACTTTAAAACTGGAAGAGGTCTTAGTCAGTATGTAGTTGGCTGGTTTGTACACTTGTAAATCAAATCTGCGGATTTCCTTTCCAGAAAAAACACACCCATACATAATACACTCACAATTTTGTGCTTATGTAATATAAGAGACTGCAATGATGAAGACTGCCAAATGGTCTTTGACGTGGCAACACATATATATCTACAATATCTAACTGATTTGATTTTTTTAATGTGATGGAAATATGTGTTAAAAACTCACTAAAGTATCAAATGAACCCCAAGATTCTGTAATTAATGTCTGGCAAGAGTACACTTGGGTCAAAATTCTCTAAGACTCTTTGGGCTGAACTCACCTTGAGTCATTTCCTTTGTCAGTAGTAACTTTGGTAAAATCTGCATCGCTGCCATTGTCTGTCTGTGTCAGCAAGAAAAGGATTACAAATTCATGTTTCGAGTTTGAAGTTGTCTCAAAGAAGCGATCTTCAAAAGCATTCTGCAGGATTTCTAGGCATCAACCGCTTCTGCTGCAGAGAAACTGAGGAGGCCTCTCTGGACCACCACCTGCGGAAGCAATCCCTCCAGCGTTCGAAAGTCTCCACAGCTGTCCAGCCACGTTCAACCACCTTCTACAGGATGTTGTCTTGGCCAAAGAGATCACAGTTTCAGCAGCAACCACTCTGGTAATTAGAAAGCCTTAAAGAGAAATCCAGGGATGAACTTCCATTCTTCATGAATTAGGGCAAATCTGTTTTTTCATAAAACATCTAAAAGGGTATGACTCAAGGCCCAGGAATAGGCTCTCAGGAGACAACTATGAGCAAAACCAAATACAGGCTCTTCTCACATCCCTTCCCAGCCCTGAGAATTTACCATCCAGGCAAGGAGACAGATGATAATCTGACACTAGCCCAAATAAATGTAAAGTACACTTGTTAAAAGCATAATAATGAAAAGCATGTTGCATTATGATATCATCTAATAAGGTGACATCTTATAGGGTGATATCATCTGAGAGGATGACATGAGTTAACACCTGAGAGGGTGGGTAAGGTGGGGGAGTAGAAGTGGAAGAGTTGATAGGACTGAGGGGAAAGCATGTGTTCATGTTGTGGAATAGATGGGAGGAACACGGAAATTTCAAGAAACTGAGAGGGGAGGATAGATGTGGTGTGGATGAGGTGGAGAGAAACCCAGGCCGGGCCAGTCTCTATGGCTCAAGCTGAAG